TTCTTCCTTGCTTTTCATAAAATAAATTTAAAAATAAAATTAAATATTTTTTAATTTAATCATTTTTATAAGTATTTTAATACTCTTTAGCCAGCATCAATATTATATGATGCACTAATCTTCTTTTTCTTTCTAATGGAATTTTAATTTATTTATTTTTTATTTACTACTGCTTAAAAATACTAAAAAATGTAAAAATATTTTAAACTTAGTCTGTCTAATTATACAAAAAAAATTTATACACTTCTAATGATTTCATTTCATAATAATAAAATAAAAATTCATTTCAATAATAAAACTTTTCTTTTCGATTTTTTATGATATATTATACTTTATAAAAAATTTTTTACAAAAATGCACTAATATATTGTGTACTATCTTTTTGTAAAATATGCGTATTAAAAAGAAGTAAAGAAGATATAGATTATATATCATTATATTTATTAGAAATGAATATTAATTTTAATTAAAAACTAAATTGTAAAAGATTTTATTTAAGAAGAAAAATAAAAAAAAAAAATACAATGAAAAATAAGAAAAAAATTACCCTATTTCCATGTCTTTAGCGATAACATATTCCCATAGAGATCCCATAATAGGAGCATCAGCCCTAATAAGCATATTGTGACCAAAATTAGTAGAATCATTATGTATAAAGTATGTATTATAATCTAATTAATAATACAATATAATATATTAGTATATTATTCTATCAATTATTATTAATTAGCAAAATATAAATAAATAAGATGAAAATAATACTAAAATATATATAAATTTTTTGAAAGATATATACAAATATAAATACATGAAATAAAAAAAGTTATTTTTCTGTAAAAATAAATTATAAAAAGTATTAAGTAATCCAGAATATAATTATTTTACTGTTGATCTTAGATATACAGAATGATTCAAAAACAATAAAATAAAAAAAGTCATATATTTTGCATATCTTATTTTTTGAATTTATAATTAAAGAAAATATTTAAAATATCCACTTTATATATTAACAAATACTATATTTCTGTTCATAAACAGGTAATTATTATATATGCATTTCAATTTTTTGATTTCAACATTAAATTTTTATTTTTAAAAATTTGTAAAATCTATATTTTATATTAATATTTCTGAACGAAATTAATAATAATTAATAATATATACGAAATTTAATAATAATAAGGTATGTAATAACATATGTTAAGATAAAAAGCAAACACTTCAATTAGTTTATTAATTATAATTATTAATATTTCTTTAATTATTCATAAATTACATTAACAAGGAAACATATTGAAATGGCATGTCGATTTTGATAAAATTTATAGGAAGAGTTTTCAAAAAAATGTTTGACACCTATTCTTTTAACAACTAACATCTACTTTAAAGTAATGAGATCAGCTTTCAAAGTTGAAGCTTGAAAACTATTTTTTTTTAATATCTTAGAAATAAATAAAGTAATAAAAATTGATAAAATAGAAAAAAATTTTTGTTTCAAATTATATTTTTGAATTTTTTATTAATTTTTTGAACTCAATGTTAATTTACATTTTTGATAATACATATATAATAATATATATATAAATAATACATACATTACAGGTGAAAATAAAAGTTTTTGGAATTTTTTGTTTTTTTTTTTATTTTGTTACGGATTTTGTAAATAAGACTGAAAAATATGTAAAACATGTATTTGAATGTATAAACAAATATGAGATTTAAAAATATTTAAAAATAATGACACTATCACAATAATTACAATTAATTTTGTGAAATATAGTTCTACAAGATTTTCAAATTCTCTTGCAGAATAATTATATAATCATATAACTAAAACAAAATCAAATATTTTGAAACGCTTGTCTACAAACTGTGTTCTACGCTTGTGAAATTGATCAATAACTATATTTCAATTATATTATTTTTTTAATATACATTTATTTTTAATGTGATAATTTAATGTGATAATTACATTGCAAAAAAAATTCTACCAAATACAATATATATATACGTATATGTATCAATAGATTGAATAATTGGCATACAATTTCAGAAGAAACAATATAAAAATTTATTGAACTTAAGATCAAAGATAATTGTACTATTAGTTATAAAAAGAATCTCAATAATCGATTTTTATATTTTTTAGAAAAATAAGAATTCAAATTCATCATCATTAACAAAACATGTAACTTCATTAGTTTTAAAGATACAATAATGAAATTTAAAAAGCATCTATAAAAAAAAAAAAAATATTTAAAAAAACAGAGTTTTATTTTCTTGTATCCAAGTTTATAATAGATCATAAGACAATAAATAATAGAATCAAAAAATGAACTTACAAAAATTATATGTATTGATTGTGAAATTTAATATTTTTATCATATAACATCAAGATAAGCAATAAAATTTGACATGTATGAATTCATTTGGAAAAATTTTACTTATATTATAATCATCACATTAAATATGAATATGAATTTATATTCAAAAAAATAATAGAAAACACAGAAAACAAAATAAATTTATTGATCCATAATTAATTATTTATCTTATATTGTAGACAATTATTTTAGTTATAAAATTGTATTCAAAATTGTATTTAAAATTGTCTTCAAAAAAAATTTATGAAATCATATTTCACAAAATTGATTGTAATTGTGTTATTCTTAGATATCCTTAATGTAAGAAAAGAATATTTGTGTTTTTTTTATACACATTGAAATTATTGCAAATATTATATAAAATAATAATCTTATATAATTTTATATTCTAACAATAATATAAAATTCGTAATAAAATAAAAAAAATAAAAAATTTAAAAAATACTATTTTTCCACTTTCTTTCATTTTATTTTAAAACATTATCATAAATATGTTTTATATTATCATATTATTATATACATAAAATTAAATTAACATTTAATTAAAATTAATAAAAAATTTAAAATTTTTAACACATTATACAAAAAATTAATTTTTTTTAAATTTTTTTATATAATCGAATTTCTTATTTAAAAATATATAGTTTAAAAAAAAGAAATTTTTTTCTATATAAATGTTTAATTCCTAAAATATTAAAAAAAATATTTCAATTCCCAATTTTAAGAGTTGATTTCTTTTTTAAATATTAATCAATAAAAAAATATCAAATATCAAATATTTTTTTGAGATCTTACTTATCAATTTAGAATTTTATTTCAAAATCGGCATGTATCATTTTGATATGTTTCTTTATAAAATATGTAAAATATATAAAATATAAAATATACATTTATGTAATATTTATTTTAGTGTATATATTCTAAATAAATATTACATATGAAAACATATATTTCTGAATCATTTTGTATCTTGAAATTTCTGAAAACAAAAATATATTATTATATAATAACTTATGTAAAAATTAAATGAATTCTATAAATTTTTTAAATATCTTCAAATCATAGTTAATGTGTTGTAATTAGCTTTTGAAAAGAAGGCAGAATAGGCAGGAGAAGCAAAAGTGAAATAAATCCCCAGAAGCTATAAATTTAGGTTCTTACTTTCTATTATTGACTTCCTGACATATCACGTATTCTCACAAATGTGACATCACTGCAGCATCTGCCCTACTCATCACTTTTAATTATGTAACAATTTCAATATATTTTCTAATGTTTAAAATGAAATATCATTATACAATTAATTATATTTAACATAATGAATAATAGAAGTTATATCATTTATAATCCATATAAAGAATTGTGAGACATCTAAAATAGATTATATATTGAATCTAAACTATTACTGACAGAAAAAAATCAGATCAAATTCCATTTAAAAAACGAAATTAATTTTTATATAATTTCTGAGTTTACATATCAATTTATATAAATTTGATCTGATACATTTTTTTTCTATCACTAACAACAGCTAAAATATTCAAGTGACTTGTTTTAGATATCTTATTTTAATCTGAACATAAATATATAAAATCTTTAGCAAAATTTTTTTATTGTATTCATTAAATATTTTCTTTATTATTATTATTATTATTATTATTATTATTATTATTATTATTATAAAACAATGTATCATTGTAATTATAAAAAAAAATAGAAAAATAGAAAATTATAGTGAATTCATGATTAAATTATATTTTTTTTTTTTTTTAAATTATTATTATATATTATTATTTTTTTTAAATATATATAAATGATATTTATTGAACTATAAATTCGTTTAATATAAACAATTAATATAAATACATACATTAGAAACTTATTAATTGTTGCATTTTCTTAAATTCTTAATTTCTTAAAACCAGAATTTATTTTATCGGGTAAGAGGCAGAATAAAAAAGGCAGAATAAATTTTTTATTATCATAATAAAATTTTCATGAAATATAATAATAAAATTATTCATGAAAATGATATTGAATAAAACCATATTTAATTCAATTTGAATTATTAAATAATATAAGATTAAATAAAAATATTAAATTTTTCTCTCTATTTAATAAGTGAAACTTAAAGAAAAATTAAAATATCTATATAAATATCTTTTAAAATCTATATACTTGTTTTGGTGAATATTGCATTGCAGATTCAATCTTGTGACAGTTATTGAAATACTAATATATAATGTTTTTACTTTATATGGATCTTAAATAATTTAAATTGTTATGTATTTTTTAAATAAACAAAATTGTACTATTTTTATCTAATTTTTAATTACAATAATTAATGATATTAACAATAATAATAATGAAATATATATTCTTATATATATTCTTCAGTTTTTCACTTAAATGAAATGATTTATATTAATTTTATATATATAATTTTTTATATATATTATGATTTTAACAATGGAAATGTTTCATATTATATATCACATAAATTTAATTCATATTATTATATCATANTAATTATTGTATAAATATATAATAATAATTATTAATTATAATTAATAATTGTGTAATAAAATGTTAATAATTATATTATGTATATTATTAATATATATTATATATATTAAATATTAATTATTATAAAATAATTATATTATGTTATAAATTATTTTATATTACTTTCAAATTATTTTTTAGATAATTACTTACTCTGCCATTGTTACCTATACACAGAGTGAACGATTTATCAAACCATCTATCATATCCTTTGCCATGCAATAAAATTCGACCATATTCATCTAATTTATCTGGATCTTCCTAATAATACATAAAAATTAAAAACTATAAATTATAAATTGAGTATTATCAAATGCAAATAATTATTCAAATAAGATTTTTATTTCATTTGTTATTTATTTTATTATTCAATCAAAAATAATATTATTGAAATAATAATTAGTATTTTAAAAATTAATTGAATAAATGTCTAAAAGAAGAACAATGTTAGAAATTTTTCAAAATTTTTCTATTGAAGAATATGGAATATTTTCTATTGAAAATATTTTTATATTTACTTTCAGAAGATATTTTGTTAAAGTTTTTAACATTTGATAATAATAGGAATTACATAAAAATTAATATTAAGAAAGTAAAAAAAAAACATATATGTAAAAATTTTTATCACATTTTAATTATTTAATTTTTAATTAAGAAAAAATTTCTTTTTATCTCGTGAAAAATTGATGTCAGTATCAAAGACAATAATTTTTGATATTTTAATATTTAATTTTGTATTTGAAGTCAAATAAATTTCTCATTATTGGATTATTTATATTAAAAAAAAAAAAAGTATAATATATTATATCAGCTATTTGTTTTATTATTGTATAGTGAGCAAAAAGTAGATTTAACATTTATCTGTAAATTTTATAAAATATAAAGACATCTATTCAATTATTTTAATATTTCTTATTTTATTTTGTATTTTAATATTTACTATATAATGTCATATAAATATTTTTTGAAAAAATATTTTCTTGTATGTTGTAATGATTTTTCTTATAAAATTAATCATTAACTTATTTCTTTTCTGATATGAAATTTTTGTTCTTTATAAATGAAAAACTTTATTTTTTATTTTCTGTTATTATTTGAAATATTCAATTTATACTTAGTAAATAATCATTTGAAAATAATTTCTTCAAATAAAATTTTAAATTTTGAATTCTCAAATAATTTTTTTATTTTATTTGAAATAATTATTTTTTCTTTTGACATGTTTATTTTTAATAAAAAAATATCTTAACGAGTAAAATATTATTTTGTAATTAATGTCACTTACTGGATCATATATATATGGTATATCATCCAATACAACTATAAATGCAGCTTTTTCAATAAGATCTAATGATGTTTTATTTGTTCCCTTTGAGAAAAATTCTTCTCTAACTCTTGCCCATGCAGTTCTTTCACTAGCTGTTAAAGCAGCCAATTTTTCTTCACCATCTGATGGTATTGATTTATCATTTAAAATTTGTTGCATTTGTCTGAAATAAGACATATTATATCAAAAATATTTGTTATTAAATATGCAAATAATAATATAATAAATACACAATAAAAAAGATAAGATAAAAATTTTACATTTCATTGATATACATTTATATACGTGTAAATAAAATGAAAATTAAAAAAAGAAAAATCATTTCGAATTTTTTGTAGTTTTTTCCTCAATTTATTTCATAATTATTTTTTATAAATAAATATTTATGTAATATATATATTGGTCTAAAATTTTATAAAATAACCACACAGGCAGAAATATTGTAATGTATACAATATCAAATTCTAGGTTTCATGAAATTATATAATTTGTAATTTGATATTAACGTAATAAGTGAAACATGTTTTTAAAAATGTCTCATTTTTCAGCGATATTATTATATTCATCGATATTATTATAAAATTAATTTATTAAAACTTAAAAACATAAAATTTATTAAAACTATTATGTATATTTTTTAATACATATTTATTATTTATTAAAAATAAAAAATTGAAAATTAAAAAGAAATAGATAAAAAGATAATTGAAAGAAATAAATTTTATAATTCTACATTGTTGAGAAAATTAAAAATAATCAAACTGAATGAATACAAAAATTATTTATGAATAAATATTTATATTTTCCAATATTTAGATAATATACACCTAAAAATCAAGAAGATCAAAAATATAGTCAGTAGATTTTTTTATAATATCATTAAAGACATCATTAATTATATGTATATATAACTCAATTAATATTCAATCCTTGAAACTGAATATTCGATATCGATACATTCCACGTGTTGTAACTTAACGTTGCTCAAACTAATTCTTGATCAAACTAATTTTTGTATTGATAAAAAATACCGTCTAATACCGATATGCTAATTAACATGGTAACAGTCGATTAATATTACAAATTGCATCATAAAACCTAGAGATTGATATGTGTATCACAACATGCTTCAGCATGATAAATAGTTGTCAATATATAAGTGTAGCTAATATATAAAAAAAAATTATAGAATTTTAAACATGAACTGAATTATAAATTTAATATGAACAAAATTATATTACAATTATTTTTTATTCTTATTCTATTCTTATCTATAGAATGAACAAATATAGAAGCAAAAATTTAACATTTAATATTAATATTTAAAAAAAAAAAATAAATAATGTTAAGAAAAAAGAAATTGCATAAGATCAAAATTAACCAATGGTCACAAAAAGTATATATATCAAGTATATTTCTAAAAAAAATAAATCCTATGTATAATTGAAAATAATATCAACTCTGTTAAATAGAAGAAAAATATATTTCAATATAATAATATCTCAAGTCATTTTTCTAAATTAATTAAAAAATTTTTGTAAAAAAAAATGTAAATATAATTAATACTAAAATTTTTAAAATATCAAATGACTGATTTATTCGTTAATATTCGATAAAATTTTTCGTTCATTATATTTATAAATAAGAAGTAATAGTTCTTAATTCCCATTAAACAGTATTAATATTGATCATTAGTTGTATTATTAATATTTATCATTGAAATACTATTAATAATATTTACAATTGAAATACTATTAAACCATTATTTATATAAATATAGATAAAATAAATATTAATTCTCTTTCAACATATTTTTATCAACATATTGCACGTGCACAATTAAAAATTAAATTGTGTTTATCGAAAATAAATATCCATATATGTCCATATAATTATATATCCATATAAGTTGTAAGCTATTATTTATCAATTTTCATGGTCAAAAGATATAAATTGCGTTATATCTTTTTAAATAATTTTTAATTATTTTTGCATTTTGTTTGTATAGATATTGGTTTTCATAAAAAAAATTTTAATGAATTCGCTTTCTTCCAAATAAAATATTTTCCCTTTATTATTAAAAAATACAAATTTCAGTTTTGTATGTTTTGTATGCTCCTATTTGTTTTAGTATTTAGGTTATCGAAATTATTTTTTTAAAATTTACAATATCATCGAATCTTTTATTTTTAATATTAATTATTTTTTAATATTTTTATAGATTTTTAATATTTTTTATAAATATAATTTATAATTATAATATAATTTAAAAATATTTTTTAATTTTAATTTATTTTTTAATTTTAATTAATACTTTTTAATTTAGTTAATTATTTAGTTAATTTCATTGGAAAAAATAATAAATCAATAAAAGACATTTATAATGGACATATCTTGAATTTCTAAGAAAATAGATAAAAAAGTATTAAACAATTATTTAATTCAATAATATTTTTAAATAAAAACGTTCCAAATTGTTATCCAATAACATGTACAAAAACAAAGACAAAAAGAATTGAAAAAAATGAAATTTTCATTTCAATTTTCTACATTATATTAATAAATTAAAAAAATTAAAAAAAAATAAATGACTAAGTTAAAAAAGAAAAAAAATTAAAAAAACACAAAATAAAAAATAAGATTACAAAAACTAGAACATTAAATTGAAGAAAAATAAAGAAGAAATAAAAATATTATGTATTTTGTTTATAACAATGAAAAGAATTGAATTTAATGTTCAAATTGCCAAAAATGCTGATCTCCGAAATGAGATTTTAACAATTATATTTGTATTTATAACAAATTATATTAAAACTAGATTAGTACTACAGTTACATTAATAATTTTTATTACAATAATTTTTATTACAATAATTTTTATTATTTTATTGTTTTATTTTAATATTAATTAATATTGTTAACTTATAAATAAAGCAGAATAAAAAAATAAAATATTTAATTTTATAATAATTCATATATTATTTTATAATTTTTATTTTTTTTTTGTTTTATTTGATTTATTTTAAGAGAAATATATATATCTGATTTATTTATTATAATTATTTGATCGATTATGATAAGAATAAATATATATAATATATGAATATATAAATTTTTGATATATTTAATATTAAATGAACAAATTAATTTTTAGATTTAAATCAAACTGATTTATGAGATTATATTATATATCAATTAGAAAATAATTTTTCTATTCAATAAAGCAGAATTCACAAAAATATCATCAGAAATTGACTTAATTTTGTAAATATTTTGTTTTTTCGATTCAATTATTTTAGTTTTAATAAAAATACATTCGAAAAAACATTTATCGTTTATGTTATATTTATTAATGCATAGATGTTATGATAGCTCTGATGATATTTTTAATTCCACTGATGTAATAAAAAATATAAAAATGTTTGCAAATGATTAATTTTTTTCTGAATTTTATAGATTGTTTCTGATCAATATAGATAATATATTGTAATAGATTTATAGTTAAGCTAATATCTTTACTAAATGATAAAGAAGATATATAATGCTTGAAAAGTCACGTAAGTCTTTAATTGAGTATTGAAGTGAATAATTCGTTAACAAGTTGTGAAATAAAATTTATTATAAAAAGAAACTCATTAATAATTCATTTACTTATTAATCATACTTGTATTTTGCAATCAGAAAATTATAGTATTAACAAAATATTATAATATTATAATAAGAATCATTGTATTACATAATGTAATATTAAAAAACCTAAAAGTTTATAAAAAATTAAAAAAAATAGAATATTTTTTATTGCGATAATTTTAATGCGATAAATTTTATATATTGCTTCGAATTTCAAAAGAATGAACATAAATTTGAACATAAATTTATAAAACAGAAGAGGCAAATAAATTTAAAAAATGTAAGTACTTGTATTTTGTACAAATTTTTATATCACAAAAGAAAATTTTGGTTAACTGTTAGATAGAGAAATTTTGAATTATCTACTTATTCATTTTTTTAAATATTTTAAAAAATGTATATTTAGTATATATAAGCATAAATTTCATAATATTAATATTAAATTTCGTAATATTTAAAATTGAAAACATTGAAAATTAAATAAAACAATCTTTAAATATTAAATTTAAAAGTTAAACAATTAAAATTTTATTTTGAAATAGCAAAAATTTTTTATATTTTTTTGTTTTCTGATAATTTTTAACAATTAGAATTAAAAAATAACAGTTTCAAATTAAAAAAGGGATTTAAAAAGTTATGAATATAAAAAGTATTTTATAAAAAATTATAACAAAATTATAAAATAATAATAATTGATTTTCATTAAATATATTAATTGACAATATTTATCTAATCTGTTTCTTAATCGAAAGTATATCAAGATCATTATAGATAATAAATATATAATATTAATAACAATTAATAAATTGTACGATTTGGTATCAACTTGTCACAAGTATTTTTGATTGATACTAACATGTATTTCATTTATGATTTCATTAATAAAAATGCTTCAATTATATAAGAATTATTTAATTTCTAATAAATATTAATCTTATAGCAATATTTTAAGTAGAACTAATATAAATAAATATTATAATATAATAATTTATTGTTATATTATCAAAATTTATTAATTGTTATTTGTTATTGTTATTTTAATTTCTCAATAAAATATTATTTTATATTTATATGATATTTCTTATTTATGTATGATTATTTATTTATTCATAAGATATATTAAAATTATTTTGCGAAAAACAACATTTATAATGATTTTTTTTTTTAATCGTGTCGTACGAATTTACATGTAATTTGCATACTTTTTGTGCTTGTCTATACTAAAGTTTATGTACGTAATCTTATTGCATTATCATGTCAATAAAATCATGCATATCTACTAATATCTTAAATACAAAATAAATATATAATCGAATTAATGAAAAATAATAATATATAATAATAATATAAATAAATTCATTAATAAATGTTTTCTAAAGTATTGTACGAATTATAAAGAAATAAAATAAAATAAAAAAAAATGGGATTGCTATAGTAAAATTCATAGCATTATTCATAATATAATAACAGAAAGATATTTATAAAAAACTTTCTAGCATAGGCGATTGCCTAACAACAATCACTATTCATATATAACCTAATCTAAACTTTACTCATGATAATAATACTAAATTACTACCTAATCTATATTATAAACCTAATTATAGAAGTATGTATAAGAATATATATATGATTTGATTTCAGATATATTTTAAATTTTATTTTATTAAATCTCAGTTTTGAATTTGTAAGTCGAAATATTTTTATTATATTAAATATTTTATTATATTAAAAAATTTGATTATCAAAATTATATTTTCATGAAAATAAAAATTTTGTTATATATATATCCGAAATAATGATCATAAATAACAAGAAAGTTCATATATATCGCCGAATTCTAAAAAATTAAAATTTCTTGATGAATTATATTAGGAAGTTTTTTTGCTAATGTCTTAAAAATTAAAATGAAATGATGGTAACATATATAGGAAAAAATTATTTAATATCACATAATTTGACAACATATTTTAGTCATTGAAATTTATGAGAAATTCTTTTTCTTATAATTATCAATAAAATCTAAGACAAAATTTTTTATTTTATAGCATCAAAAAGAATAAATTTTAATTTCATAAATTTATTAATTTCATAAAAATTTTCATCTATGAATATATTTTAACATATATATAAAATATTAATACTAATAGTATACTTTAATATTTTTTTTTTATTTAAGTAATTTTAATCCACATTGAGATTATTTTGTATATTTTTATTTTATTTTTAAAATAAAATAAAAAAGAACAATTTTATTATATACTTAATTATATTAAGTACTAAGTATTTTATTATATACTTAATTATATTAAAATTATATAAATAAAAATATATAATAAAATCTTATTTTTAAAAAAATAATTTCATGTCTTTGGTTATTATACTATGATAAAATAAAAATAGTTTTAAATACATTAAAAAACATTATGCATGATTAAGAATTAAATATAAAAATATAAAATTGTATCTGACTTACATTTCAATTTCAGAAGGTTGAAGAATTCGATTTTTATGATAAATAGGAACTTTAAAATATTTTCCCTTATGATATACAACAATATGTTTAGAATCTTGATAATGTATAATTTTATCTGTTTCACGTCCTGGTATTCTTGTAGTATTAAATACTCTTTCATATTGCCATGAACAAAGAGGCACCAATCCTTGAATTAATATCTGCAAAAAAAAAAAAAAAATAAAAAAAAAATAAAAATTTAAATTTTTATGTAATATTAAATTAAGTTTGAAAAGTTTTCAATATAAATGAAATTGACTAATTTTCGATTGAATATAAACGAATTATTGATACAATTTTCTACATATTAATTCTACATATTAATATATTATAAATAAACAAAAAAATATTCTATTATATATTAAAAATATTCTACATATTAAAATAAACAAAAAAATAAAATTTTATTATTCAACTTTTTATATTTGAGAAAATCAAAAATAAGAAAAATATGCAATCAACAAATTCTAAAATTTGCTTTCTTTGAAAACTAATTTTTAAACGAAATAAAATTAATTTTAAATTTTATATGTAGAATAACTTATTGATAATTCATTCATATTTAATCAGTCTATTTTACTTATATTTAAACAATGTTCAAATTCATTGTTTCAAAAATGAAGTTTTAAATGAAAAAAATTTTATTCTATGTTATGGAAAATTATTTAAAATACTAATACTGTCTCTTCGCAAATAATTATCAAATATTTGATTAATTAAAGATGAAAAAAATATATTATTTATATAATAAAAAATAATTTACTAACCGGTTCTAATTCTTGCCGTTCAATGAGCCGTCGATACTGTAGACACGAATAAATAACACTTGCAGCACGGGCAACTTGTACATTAGTAGGATACATAAGAATAGCATCGATACCATAAAAATTTGAATTAACCATAATAGGAGATCGTCCACGTAAATACACATATTCTTCCCACCAATCAGATACATAATTAGTAGCCCACCAAGACTTTAAAATTAAATATCGCTGAAGTTTTACACCAATTCCTTTTTGAAATTCATTAGCTAATGTCTCCATTCGAGCATAATTTTCATCATCGAGCAATGGTCGAACACTTCGTAGGTACTATTTAAATATATATATATAAATTATATTATTAAATATATTATATTAAATATTAGGTACTATTAAATATATATAAATATAGATATAAATATACATATAAATTCGATAAATATAAATAAAGAAATGAATATAGTCTATATCTAATAATATATAATAATATATATAATAATATAGTATTAGTATTTTGTTTTATTTGTTTTTCATATAATTTTATAAAATTAAAAATTAAAATATTCTTTAAACTAACTAAATATGATATTAGTTATAAATTGATTTTTACTTTTTATTTTTTTGTATTTTTTTTTAAAATTGCATTAATATAGCAAAAATTTCACATGAAAAAATATATGTGATCTTTATATGATTTTTGAATATCTGTATTTATAAAAAAGTTATATGAAATTATTATACTCAAAACTATTTGATTCTTATTCTTCTTGTATAGTAATTATACGTATAATTATATATATAATAATTTATAATTATAAATTAAAATTGAATATTTTGTAAAATTGAAATATTCTATATTCTAACCCGCTTCATTGTATCTACTACTGAGGGTAATGGTAGCCTTGGCAATGATCCTTGAAAACTATAAAGCATTGGTTTATGCCACCCAAAAAACAATTTCACTAATGTGGTCCACATTTTAGTGATCCTCGATGCACTACATCCTTTTTCTCTTGATTCATACATCCATCCCTTGTACATAAGTAATAATTTAAAAGTATATCGAATTACATATATTACTATCAACCATAAAAGCAATCCAATTATAAAAGATCCTGCTAAATGAGCCAATACTGAAGATCTATGTAAAAATATAAATTATTCTATTAAAATTATATAAAAATCATACTAAAAAAAATATAAGTAAACTTACGCTGAAAGATACGGTGCAGCTTTTTCAACAAGATCATAAGGTACCTTAAAACCAGCAAAATGTATAGCAGTCACTACAGCTATAGTAAACCATAAACTTTCTAAAGAAGCAGGATATACACCACTTCTTAAATTGTTCTAAAATTTATTTAATTCATTTTATATTCATTTAAAAATTATATTATAAATTAATATTTATTTACTTACAACAAATCTAAAAAATCTTTTCTTCCAAGAACGGATACCTGATTGCCATACTAAATGTAAAACTTCTCTATCAAAATTAACATCCCATCCCTCATGAGTAATAGAAAAACTAAATGCTACAGCTGAATGTGCTTCTGCCATATCATCAGTTATAAATTATAAAGCTGAAATAAATAAAAAAAAATTGAAATTAAATTTATGATAAAAGAATGAATTAAATAAAATTAACTATACATTAAAAGGACAAATTTATATTATATATAATATAATATAATATAATAAAATATAATTTATATTATATATAATTTTTTATACTATATTTAAATTAGAAAATAATTTATCATAATAAATATGATAAAATAAATAGCAATAAATTATAATAAAAAATAATAAAAATTAGTGTTTAATAAGAAAACA